TCTGAGAACTTCTCTTGCTTCACAATCTGCTGGATGATTACACAATATAGAACAGCCATAAGGATAAGGATTAAAGAGACCAGAAAAAGGACGAAGAATAAAAGGTGCTGGTTTAATAAAACCTGTAAGTTCCACATTCTATAACAAATAAAATATTCATAATTTGATTATTCATTTCTATACATAATACATAATCATAAAATAGGATATTTTTATTACAATGAAATTTTAATGTTATATCATAATTTAATTTTATAAATAGTAATTCAGTTTGCGAATTACTATATAATAATTCTATATTCTAAAATATTATATTATGAAAAATTATAATTGACTCATATCGTTATGTATACTTGCATTTATGCTGAATTATTTCATTATAATTAATTTGTTGATTTATTACCAATTTTTTTTAATAAATACCTTCGATTTAGGTCGATAAGTTGGTCGGATACGTGCTTCTAAAAGGCCTGTTGCACTTGCGATTCCTGGCATTATTTTATATTAGATTGTTACAATAACACAGTATCATAAGATTCTTTATCAAGGCGACAATAAATCAGTAGTTGATCACCTTGGAAGCCTGTTGCTAACGTGAGTTTGATGGATCGATTAATGAAGAAAATATTAGATTAATTTTTTTTTTTTAACATTTCGTTAATTATTATATAAGGAAGAAAAATTCAATAAAAAACGTTATTTGAATCGTTTACGGTATATGTTCAAAAATTCTTAAAATTATTATTCCATTCGGTTTAACTTTATGGCAAATATTATATATGTAATATATATGTATTTGTGTTGTATTATATATGTATTTAAAAATTGTTGTATTTGAATCTTAATTTACATTTTTTATTTTTTTAAAAATTTATTTTATTATTAATAAAAAAAAATTGATAAATTTTATTAATAAATAAAATTAAAGACTACATTATAAAAAAATATTCTCAGTATATTTTAATTTTTTTTTTTATTATAATTTTTCTAATAATACAATTATATAATAATTTTTATTAATTAATCTAAAAAATAATATTTAAAAATATCTATTCAAACTTATAAACAATAATGAAACAATATGAAAATTTTTTATTATCAAATACTTATAATAAATTATTAAATAATATGAAAATAAATTGAAAAATATTTATTAAATGTTACAATAATATTAGATAATTGTTTATTGTTGTTGAACAATTGTTTATTTATTTCTTGTATAGTCCAATTAATCTAAACCTTAAGCATATTATCTAAGAAAGGATTATCTTGATAATGTCCAGGATATTTTTTCTTATACTTTAATCCAGTTACAAGAGTAGAACTCTTCGGGAATGCTGTCTGACCATTGAACAATGTATCCGTATCTGAAATATTGTTTTAATTTACAAAATTTTATATTTCAATAAAAAATAAATATAAAATATCATAAGAAATATAAATTCCCATTATATAATTATAAGAATTAAGAATTTTTTTGTTTTTTCTCTTTCTTTGTTTCTTAAATATACGTATTTACATTATTTAAATTAATTATTAAAAAATAATGAATTTTCGTATTAAGATTTTTAAGATTTTTAAGAATTTTTTTATATTAAAATTTTATTCAGATTTAAAATTTTCTTTCATAACTTATATGCATAAAGTTATAAAATGATGAAAAATATCTTACACAAATAAAAGTTGTATCGTTAAATGAATAAATCAATCATCAATAATTTAATTAAAAAATTATAAAAATTACTTACCAGGATGAAATCGAATATATTCATAATTAATATGTAAATTCTTTGGTAAATCCATTGAACGCATAGCATCTAATGGAGTTATATTACCGACTGGGGTCTTATAGTAATTCTTCAAATCACCTGAAATATAATTTAACAAATTGTAACTTAGTGAAAAAAATTTTATTAATTACAATTTGATTATAATTTATACAATTAAAATTTTCTATCTAAAACTTACCAATTGTTTCAATGTAACATAATACAGCATTCGTTATTGGATGTTGAAGTTCTTCTTCACATGCTAAAAAAAGATTGAAACGTTGTAATGGATCTTCGATTTTTGTTTCATCAACCGTTGAAATTTGTTGTGTTTCACAAATTTTATTTATTCTATCACATACATCTTCTGGCGGATTATATTTCTTCTGATATCTCAAAAATCTGTAACAATTGGATCAATTTGTTATATTGAAATAAAAATATTAATGAATAGGTATTCAAAGATAGACATTTAAATATTATATTATATTTACATTTTAGATTAAAAATTGTCATTCAAACTTTTATTAAACTTTTAAACTATTAAAGAATTATTAAAAATATAAAAAGATTAATAAAAATATGAAGAAAGAATTAATAAAAATCAATCAGTTCCAATTTTTAATTATCTATCCTTATTTTTAGAATAAATTATTTATAATTAAATCAATTTCAAAAATTATTGGATAGACTTTTGATAAACAAATGTGTAAACTAAAAAAAATATAGAAAAATCTTATACTATATATTCCAGATTTAAATCTGTTATTCCCAGACCTGATAACATTTTATTTTTTTTTCATTTATTTTGTTTATTTTTCATTAAAATGCGCTCTTTTTTTTCGATATTATTGCTTTTTTTTATTTAATATAAATTTCGATTTCATTTATGCAATATCATTTATATAATTAAGTGATTATCGCATTTATGGAATTTTGGATACAGATATTTTGTTTTGTAAATTATAATGTAAAGGATTGAGGAAAAAAATAAAGGAAATAAAAAATTGGATCCGTTTGATTTTTGAATCGGTAAGCCATAACTTTACATCCTTTACCAAGGATTATTTAAAAAAATTATTTACTTAAAAAAATATTTTTTTTAATAAAATATAATGTATTATATAATGTATAAAATTAAAATATTTAAAAATAAAGAAATTTTCCAACAGTTTTTAGTAGATTTAATGTCTAAAAAAATAGACCGATATCTATTTTGAAAGTCATATAAAATTTATTTTATCACCCATTGTATTTATATATAGTTGTTTGCGAAATTTAAGATTTGTTATTGTTGCCGATTTTATTGAGTTCAATTAATTACCTCAAGGATACTAAACAATGCTCTCACAATTTGTAAAAGTGCTCTAGTAAATCAAATCGTTATATAAGCTAATTTCGAAGTGCACTATTTCTCTCCCTAATAAATATGATGCAAAAGCAACAAAATGAAACAAATTGAAGCTATGAGCAATCTTCTCTCGATAAATAATTCTAATCAATGTATTATTTTTTTTTCGAAAAAATTTCAATATATTTTCTGATATTTTCTTCTTCCTTTTTTTGTTACATTAGAATTGTTCGAACAAGTAATTAATTTATTGTTCATTATATATTAATATAATTTATTAATAAGTAATAAATACGAATCATGAATTCCAAATTTAAAATCTAATATCAAAATCGGTTTAAAATCAAACATCAAAGTATAATTTTGTTGTTATTCACACAATCATATTATGTATCTTATCATAAAATAGATTTCATATAAGAAAAATTGATAGATATTTAATTAATGTTGAATTAATTTTTTATTGTATTTTTGATTGTAATATTTGTTAAAAAATAATTTGTTAAAAATTATATCTAAGAATGCGAATTTGAGAAATTTTTTGAAAATTAGTTTTGAAAATCATTTCTTGTTGGATTCTCGAGTGGATATTATATTGAAAGCGACAATTACTTTCAAATAACACTTTCAATATACTTGCAAAAAAATAACTTGTAAAAGCATTATTCTTAAATGAATTCACATCTTAATAATAGAAAGTATATTGTAGTGAGTAACACAATTTGTATTTCACATTTTTCTTCTCAAACATAAACCTGGTGCCACACATATTTTTGCAGAGATTATCGTTGCCAATAGCCATTGATTTCGCATGTTAAAAATCAATATCGTCTCTTCTAGATTATCCCGACACGACTCGCGCCAAACTTTTCGTATTGTGCAAAAGAGTTTGGTTACCGGACGAAGCGCGGTAAGGGAGGCTTCCCTTAGAAGAAGTGGGCAATGGAGCGATGGAGGAGGAGAGGGGACAAGATCGATGTCCAACTACCGTACAGTGGTGCCCTCAGTTGTATTTTCTCAGGATACAGTTATGGCCAATATTGGCCAGGAACGAAACAAAATATGAAAAAACCCTGTGACAAGAAAAATTTTTTGTATTCGACTAAAAATATAGTTTACATTAAGATTATCACAATTATTTAGTTAAATTTAAAAATTGATTAATTTTATAATATATTATTATAATTTGTTTATGCATATAAATTAATAATATATATTTTATACATATTATTTTTAATAACTATTAAAATTATTTGTTCACGGAAAATAAAAATCAATTTCAATCTTCTTTTGTTACTCATAAATCTTGATCTATGTAGCAAGAGACGGATAATAGTTCGTCAATGTTAATTACAAGGACAGAGAAACTTGGTCTTCGAAACAGGTGTTCTCAATAAAAACTGGCATACCCGGAGAACTAAAATATCCAGAACTATGTAAACTGTTTTTCATTTTTTTTTTTTCACTTTAAGTATGTTGTCACTTATTATAAATATAAATATTGATGTCATATTATACATATATATATTTTCTAAAAAACAATAATTTAAAAATCTTATATTACATACGTTTATATCAAATTTTTTCGTTTAACGAATTATAGCGAATAAAAAAATATAATTTAATGTTGATATATTTAAAAAAATGCAATTAAAAAATATATACACCCTAAATTATCACAATAAATTAGAATTCTCATGATTAACTGAAAACTTCTTATAGTTAGGCATAAAAGTATATCACTATAGTTGTTACGTCACATATAAAAGTGGAAACAAATTCAACTTGCTTATAGATATAGATCTATGAATCAATTTAATATATTAAAACATTATTTAATTTAAATTTGTGATATTCCGAAAAGATTTATATTTTATTTAATATACATAATATTTAATAAAATATAATCAATATGAAAATTTACATATAAATTTACATCGAAATATTTGCATATAACATAAGAATACTATTTTAAATTGAATATTTCAATTGAATAATTCAATTATTAATCTTAGCCATTTTTTTAAATTTACATTACGATTTTGATACTTATAATTATATCTATTTTTTATTATAGCGATTTATATATGTTCAAATTTTACATTCTATTATTTATAAAATATAATTTCTTTTGTTATATTTATAAAATTTTTAAGAATATAGTTTCTTCAGATCTAAATATTTTTTCGAGAAACAAATTAGAATAAAAAATTTTGACACATTTCATTAAAATTAATTTCATTTATCAAATGTAATTATCAAAATATTTATCAAAATATCATAAATCAAATAATAATAAAAATGAAATATATTTTGTTAAATTTCAATAATGTTTGCTTTAACTTTAATGTCATTTCATGTCACACGTGTATGAAAAGAAATTACACAAGAACTAGTGAAATGCAAGGGTGCTAAGCATACGCTCGTCTGCCCTGAGAAGCTGTCAAATCCAGCAGTTTATTGGTTGGTGTGTAAAAGAGAGGTGGTAAACGGCAATATGGCCACAGTGTGTCCTTTGCCTGTTAGCCAGCAGCGCGACGTAACGCGAATATTTCGATAAAATTTGTGTGTAAATTGACTAAATTCTTACCCTTTGCAAGAGAGAGACGTCTTTTCATCTTCAAATCTGCTAGTCCTCACTTCGGGACGTTTCTTGCTCTTAAAACGAGTTATATCATATCGTAGATTCATCTGTAAAATGACGGTGGTTTCGTTAGTGCACGTAGTATACAAATTAAATTTGTTCACTCCCTGTTGGGAGTACTGTGTGATGATGGTGATTAAAAAGTGTACGTAAAGTGTCTACACTAACCGTGTTTACGGCAAGAAAAGTGGATGAACTTTTTAAGGAATTAAAACCATGCCTGATGAGCGCCGCCATCTTCTTCCTCGTCGTCGAAGCGAACTGCACGAGTGAGCAGTAGGGGGCGCCTCGGGCGGCTGCGCTTGTTGTT